TCCGTACATGATTCGGGCATCGTTCGTATTGTTAACTTTTACGTTACACGGACTGTAACAGGGAACTAAATTAAGATTATGAAAATAAGTTAAAAGTCATAGGAACCCTCCCTGATGAATAAATGCATCTAACAATCATTCCATACACCAAATACAGTTGATCTACTGCTTTCAGTATCTGTGACATAGATGTTACTTCAAAAACTTCATAAAATGTGGAAATGTATCCTTAAAACGATATCAACTGACTACACAGCAAGTGTAAATATATATAAAATAAGGATATGTGGTATGATTGCCAATAGACAACTATCCATCAGAGACCAAATGAAGTGGATCTAAATACATGTATTCTTTTATCATTAGAATGAAAATAACACTTTTTATACTGTAGCTAGAATGCTTCCTGTTGTCTTGATCAACCAAATATAGTAACAAAGGGAGATTTAAAACAATGTCGTTTCATGTCATGTCACTTTTCTTCACAAAAGAGGGATGAAAGAAACCAGAGGGACAGTCAAACTCATAGATCGAAAACAAACTGACAACGCCATGGCCAAAAATAAAAAGACAAACAGACAAATAATAGTACAGATGACACAACATAGAAAACTAAAGACTAAGCAACACGAACCTCACCCAAAACTTGGGATGATCTCAGATGCTCCGGATGGGTAAGCAGATCAACCTGGGGTTTGTTTAAGGATTGAAAATACTTTTTTTTTTGTTTTAACAATCATAAATATCATTGTAGAAATTTTTAGTTGCAGTATAAAACAACATACTTAGGTCAATGTCAGAAAATATCAACTTTTTGTATTAAATAAAATTGAGAATGGAATCCTTCCCCAGGTTCTAAGCCTCATTCAAACAAGAAAGGTGATATTGTTCTGACATTGACATTCTATTGGTGAATGTCAATTTTGTGTCTCTGGAGAGCAACTGTTCTTTTCCATAATAAAGCATCTTTGAATAATCAAGATGCCTTTCAAATATTTATATTTATACGTTATATTAACTTATACTTTGTCTTAACATTTCAAGAAGAAAAATAGTTTAAATAAAATTCAGTATCTGAATGATCTAAAGTGTCAGATCGGAAGGGATTTTTTAAAGATTTTAATGCAATAAATTTGGATTCAGTTTCATTCAAATTTGATGAAAGTATAGATAACGGTCAGCTCAAAATCTTAAACACAGTTTTAAATACCTGCACAGATTGGTTAAAATGCAAAATTTTACAACCATAACTTTTCAGGGGAAATAACTCTCATATAAGGTTTAAATACCAGATATGTTGGTTATCTTTTAAATCTTTTTTCTCAGGAAGTGATGTTGTATGAAAGAAAGGTTAGATATGGGATGTATATGTCTATGAGATAGCAACCCACTGATCACTACTTAGTAATCTTTTTTAGCATGTGTGTGTGTGCAAGTGTAAACATTATGAGAACAAACGATATTTATAGATTTTAACCTAATTTTAAATAAATTTTTGTTTGAGTTTGTACATATAATTTAGTGTACATGGTAAACTTGACTACTTGACTGTTAAAATTATGTCAAGGTCAGATATATCCTGATAAAGTCACATCTTTATGAAGTTTCATCTTAAGGATGTACACCTCTGAGGAGCCAAAAATTTCTAGAATTAAAAATTTTTTCTTAACCTGATTTTTGGGTTTATATGACTGTAAGAAAGTAAATGAAGGAGACAAAAATCATATGGTGGTGCACTTCTTTTTTTGCTACAGCCATTTGAAAGTACCCATTTCTTATGATTTTCACAATTTTCATCAATTTTTACCCATTTTTGAGCTATTATCATGAAAAAATGACAATTTTACAATTAAACTTATTTTCATACTTTCACTAAAGATAAAGTGGACTAGTCTGAAAAAATTTTAACTAAAAAACTATAGGTTGGTGTAAAGATTAGAAAGTTTTATAAAATTTTTTGGCTTTTTCACGTCAAATTGACCATACTGTCAACTTTGTAAATTTTGGATTTTTCTCCTTTTTTTTAGAACAAAAAGCATGTTATTTCAACTTCTTTGTTATAAATGATTGAAAAATAAATGTGGATAGTGTGCACATGAGGACACAGATGATGCCCCCGCTTGCATATCATATAGTTATAAAGGGACATAACTGAAGAACAGTAAAAGTTGAGCTACCCAAATTTGAACTTGATCTGAGTTTTGTGGTAATAAGCATTGTGTGTAAGTCTCATAACATTTGGTTGAGACTAACTTAAGTAGAGAACAGAAACTAAAAGTTCAGCAATTTTTCTATTTGTATACACGCATAACTCTAGAACGGTTGTGTATAAGTTTTATAACATTTGGTTGAGACAAACTAAAAATTCAGCAATTTTTATGTTTATAAAAGGACATAACTCAAGAATGTTAAAAGTGTCGCCACCAAATTTCATACTTAATCTGTATTATGTAGTAATAAGCATTGTGTATAAGTTTCATAACATTTGGTTGAGGCAAACTTAAGGTAGAGAACGGAAACTAAAAATTTTGCAATTTTTCCATTTATAAAGGGGCATAACTCTAGAACGGTTAAAGTGACACCACCAAAATTCTAATTTGATCTGTGTTTTGTGGTAATAAGCATTGTGTATAAGTTTCATAACATTTGGTTGAGGCAAACTCAAGTTAGAGAATGGAAACCATATTTCAGGACGTTGGGACGGACGGACGATCGTACGTACATACATACGTACAGACAGACAAGGGTAAAACTTAATGCCCCCACCGCTACGGCATGGGCATAAAAAACATATGTAAGAATTTTGAAAAGAAAAATTGATATGGGATGTACATATTTTTGATCAAATCATTTCTTTGTACCCTCACCTATTATCTCAACATTTTGGCTGATGATACTTACCAGATTGATTATAAAATTTGAAAATTTTCAAAAACTACTTATTGCAAGTACAAACATGTACACAATTTTTTCACAGAGTTTAGTTTGATTATAATATTTTTTATATTCATTGATATTCTCCATTTGTATCACATGTTTTGGAAATAATTCCCAAACGAGATTTCAATTAGACTGAAACCTCTGAAGAATACATCCTTAAATTCAGCAATTTGAGAATATTACATCAATCTTGATATTGAAATCACAGGAGTGGGGATGTTTTCCTTAATGAAGGTTCACACAGGAAATCTGCATGAATGGTTCCTTTTTTGATATGTCAAATATATCATTGGGTTCCAATTTTTCAAGGTAAAATTTCAATAGGTCAGTAACTAATACTGTTTAAGTAGTATTATCGGTTTAAATCAAATTACTGGTAAGATGAAAAAAATTGTATATGTGATAACTAAGAAATTTTTAAATGGATTATGATAATGCAATGAAATATATTTATGGGTTGCAATTTTCACAGGACTTCATTATACCAATGCAAGGTGTTTTTGAATACCCAAAATTTAAGGTTGAGACTACTCTTCTCCCTGTGGTTAAAGTCAACTTTATAATCATCTTATACACCTGGTTTAAAAATACAATTCAAAGTTCATTATCTTATTGATTGATATAATTATGTAGTAAGTTTTCATTATCCATAAGTACTACATGAAATCTTTACCTCTACAGATTATCAGTTAAGGTGGTACATAACACTACAGGGAGATAACTCTGTAAAATCAGCTAAATGTTTTAATTATGTTGTAATGTTAAGGAAATATTAAGCTTCTCAATGATTAAAATTAGTGTGTGTCAAACTGCTATATATCCAATGAAATTTTTCCGAGAAAGTGATTGGTTCAAGTTTTTTGAAATTTTTATATTTTTTTTCAAAGGGTCAAAGTAAATATTTTGTCAAAATTTTATGAAAATTAAACGATCCAAATTAATTTTGCTCAAGGTGTTGGGTACCACCTTAAGGGGAGATAATACAGTTTCCCATTCTATTGTCATTTGTATGTTTTTTAAGATATTTTAAAGATTGAGATGAGACTGAGTCAGAAATAGCTAGACTAGATGCAAAAGTCCTATGAAATGATAGTAAATGTAACTGTAGACTTAAATTTGAAACTAGAATAATTGAATATAGTATCTTTAAACCCATAAAAGCGACATTAAAGTCCACACAGAAAATGTCAATCTACTGTTTTTGACTAATATAAGCATCTTAGTATAGTCAAGATGCTCTACATAAATAAGGTTTAATTCCGTTACTTGTACGCTTCAAATTCGAATAATATCAACCTTACAGAAAAAGAACAACAACATAAATAAATTGTAGAAGAGACATTTCTAAAGTATCTATTGTATGGGAAGTTTTCAAAATTCTAAAAATAGAACATTTGTATTTAGTTTAATATCCACATAATTAACATGTAAGTAAAATATGTATAAAATAATAAACATTGTTTTAAATACCAATGTTATTTGATGAAAATGCAAAATTTTAGATCCAGCACTTTTCAGGGGAAATAACTCTTATAAAAGGTTGTGTACCAATTTTCAAACAAGGTTATTTATTATCTTGTAAATCTAGCCAAGTTATACAGTAGCAGAAAATGAGGTTTTATCAAGGTCTGATGTTTTATAAGTGAAAGAAGAATTTGTGTATTTGTCAATCAGTGTGTGTCCTAAGTGGCATTTTAAGAGGGCCTGCATAATGGGACCAGGTTTTCATTTCTCTAATTTACTTTAATTTTTTAGTGTATTTTTCTGGTATTCTGATCCATTTTGCCCATTATTTCCCTTTCTTTATATTTTAAGACCCCTTAATTATCTATTTTGTATTTATATGGCTTATTTTTCTCTATTCTTCCTCGATTCTTTGTTTATTGGTCCATTTTTCTGAACACTTGGTTATTATTCTCAATTCCGTAAATCCCATTCAGACCCCAAGATTTGTGAATAATCCCCACCTTGACACAAAGATTTGTGAATAATACCTACCCTGACACGAAGATTTGTGAATAATACCCACCTCGATACAAAGATTTGTGAATAATACCTACCCTGACACGAAGATTTGTGAATATTTTATATCTCATCATCCCATCATAGTTTATTCTAAAAATAACATCTTGTTCCACCACGTAGAGGTGCTGGTTGGCATAATCTAAAGTCATACTAGTCACTTTAACTAGTTTGCTGTCGGCTATTGGAGTTTTATCACTTCCGTCTAATTTGGTTCTAAAAATAGTTGAACTTCCACGGCTGTCATCATATTGGGCATAAAACAAGTATCTAAAAAACAGAACATAATTTTTGTAATTCTAAAAAACAAGAGTTTAATGTTCCTGACCTTTTTCTCATATTACAAATGTTGTTTTTTACTGTTGATTCATTTATTTTCTTGGATACCAATTTCTGTGGATTAAGGTGGTACATAACACTACAGGAAGATAAAAATGTAAAAATCAGCTGAACGTTTTAATCACATTCTTTTGTTAAGGAAATATTAAGCTTCTCAATGACCAAAATTAGTGCTTGTCACACTGCTATATATCCAATGAAATCATTCCGATGAAGTGTGTGGTTCAAGTTTTTTGAAATTTTTATATTTTTGTCAAAGGGTCAAAGTAAATATTTTGTCAAAATTTTATGAAAATTAAATGAGCCAAATTAATTTTTAATCAAGGTGTTTGGTACCACCTTAAGGAACAATTGTATTTTCGTGGATACTTGATTTTATGGTCAGGTCTATAAATCTACATACAAGCCTATAGATAGTTCGTATTTTATTGAACATTTAAATTCTTGGTTAACCTCTACCCAAGAAATACAGAAAAATGTGTATCCAACAAATTATACAGAGGGGCGAAAAGGGGGTATCTGCACGGAAGAACGTGAAATAAAATTGCCATTTCACGATGAACGAACAATTAAAAATTTCTTGCACGTGGATCTTTTTAACAATTTCACGAAACAAGGTGAATAACGAACCTTTTTCACCGCTGCACGTGAAATAAAAATGGCAAAACACGTTGCACGAAAATAACCCTTTACCACCCCCATACAGAATCCACATAAGTTCTTGAAATTAAATTTGTTAAAAAAAAATTAAATGACATCAAATTTCCCCATTTCTATTGCAGGGAAAAAGGAAAACTTGACTTATGGTATCATGCAAAGAGAACACAAATTTTTCATTTGTGTCAAAATATGTAAAATTCATTATAAAAATATTTAATAATACAATATATTTTAGCAGCCCTGGAAAGTAACCAACAACTCACTACATAAAAGTCTGATACAATACATCGAGATATTCCCTTGTCAGGCTTTGTACCTTATTCAGGCCTTAGATGAGACATTTATATCTTAGCTGTGTTTATTTTTTGTAACAGTGAAAATAGCAACATCTACCTGATATACGGTATATAAACAAATTGAAGTGACTTACCCTTGTGTTGGATCTATTGTCATGGCAGCTGGTATGTCAAATTCAGTCTGGATAATACTACGACAGAAGCGTGATGCAGGATTACATAAGATGATCTGATGATTGTAAGTATCCATAAAATACCAGTTACCCGTTATCCAGTCTTTTGTCATCTGTTTTATCACTGTGGATAAATAGAGAATATTATCGCTATTTTACGAATTTTTCCTTTGATCTTGCTGACTGATAATTTCCATTCTCAGCTGAATTATCGCTAGAAACTAAGGGAACACATGCCTTTGTCAAGGAAATTAACAACGTCTTAATAGGTAAAATAGCGATAAACAGATTATCATTGGTCATCTCAACTTGATTGCTTTTCTCGCATTCGCCGTACCGGCTCAAGAGAGAAAAGCAATTTCGTTGAGATAACCAACGATAATCTATAATTATATGGCCTTTTCAATATCACACCTGTATCAACCCGGGACATCAATATAAACACAAGAGCTCTGCTCGAGGGATTATATTGGTTGAGGGTTGATACGGCCCAAAGATGACAAAATTAAAAACATTTCATACGAGAAAAAATGGCCTGAATTATGTACAAACCAATAAAGATAAACCAAACATGGCCTATTTTTCTATTTTTGCTATTATCATTATGAACAGATTACTGTGGATTCATTTTTTTTTTTATTATTATAACTATTTTTGAAGAATTGGAAATTTTGCATTTTCGTAGATATTTGATTTAGGGCTATTCCATTAAAATGTATGTGGGAGGGTAGGAAGGGAAGTTTAATTATTGAATGTGGGTCATGGGTCTTTTTTCAGTATGTGTCTATTACCATCATGCAAAATTATCTAAACAAGAGTGCACACGCTGAAATGTCTCGCCTTCTTTACTAATCATTGATATTATGTTGATAGTCCTAAATATAAAGCTTTAATACAACTGTCACATAAACTTAACATTAACCAAGTAAACTAAACATTGACCAATGAACCATGAAAATGAGGTCAAGGTCAGATGAACCATGCTAGGCAGGCATGTACAGCTAACAATTCTTCCATACAACAAGTATGGTTGACCTATTGCTTATAGTTTAAGAAAAACAGACCAAAACACAAAAACTTAACACTGAGCAATGAACCTTGAAAATGAGGTCAAGGTCAAATAAAACCTGCGTGACTGACATATAGATCATAAAATATTTCCATACACCAAATGTAGTTGAACTATTGCATATAGTATTAGAAAAAAAGATCAAATCTCAAAAACTTAACTTTGACCACTGAACCATGAAAATGAGGTCAAGGTCAGATGACACCTGCCAGCTAGACATGTACACCTTACAACCATTCCATACAGCAAATATAGTAGACCTATTGCATGCAGTATTAGAAAAAAAGACCAAAACTCAAAAACTTAACTTTGACCACTGAACCATGAAAATGAGGTCAAGGTCAGATGACACCTGCCAGCTAGACATGTACACCTTACAATCCTTCCATACACCAAATATAGTAGACCTATTGCATACAGTATAAGAAAAACAGACCAAAACACAAAAACTCAACTATAACCACTGAACCATGAAAATGAGGTCAAGGTCAGATGACACCTGCCAGCTAGACATGTACACCTTACAATCCTTCCATACACCAAATATAGTAGACCTATTGCATACAGTATAAGAAAAACAGACCAAAACACAAAAAATCAACTATAACCACTGAACCATGAAAATGAGGTCAAGGTCAGATGACACCTGCCAGCTAGACATGTACACCTTACAATCCTTCCATACACCAAATATAGTAGACCTATTGCATACAGTATAAGAAAAACAGACCAAAACACAAAAACTTAACTATAACCACTGAACCATGAAAATGAGGTCAAGGTCAGATAACACCTGCCAGTTGGACATGTACACCTTACAGTCCTTCCATACACCGAATATACTAGACCTATTGCTTATAGTATCTGAGATATGGACTTGACCACGAAAACTTAACCTTGTTCCCTGATCCATGAAATGAGGTCGAGGTCAAGTGAAAACTGTCTGACGGGCATGAGGACCTTGCAAGGTAAGCACATACCAAATATAGTTATCCTATTACTTATAATAAGAGAGAATTTAACATTACAAAAAATCTGAACTTTTTTTTCAAGTAGTCACTGAACCATGAAAATGAGGTCAAGGACATTGGACATGTGACTGACGGAAACTTCGTAACATGAGGCATCCATATACAAAGTATGAAGCATCCAGGTCTTCCACCCTCTAAAATATAAAGCTTTTAAGAAGTTAGCTAACGCCGCCGCCGCCGCCGCCGCCGCCGGATCACTATCCCTATGTCGAGCTTTCTGCGACAAAAGTCGCAGGCTCGACAAAAATGGTTCTTGATTGTGAGGATATTTCGAAAGTCCCTTCCTACCCTCCCACATACATTTTAATGGAATAGCCCTTAGTGGTTATGCCAAAGACTGCGTACAAACCTATAGAAAAGTTTTAATCGTTAAATATTTAAATTTTTGGTTCACCTGAAGGCATGAAATCAACGAAAATTAGTATCCCAGGAATAAAAATGAATTCAGAGTATGACTATCTGGTTTAAACTTACTTCCATATGGTATTTCTGTGGTATCCATTGTTATGATAATTTTAGTGTCCAAATTGGCACATCTCATTTGATAATTAATGGTTGTTATATCTAAAGCAAGCTGCAAAATAAAACATATTAATATGATCTTTCTGAAATATATTAATCAATACGTCCAGTAATGTCCTGGAATTGCACTTAATAACTTTAAAATACTTGTGCGAGAAATGTTAAAACAGGATACCATAGCTTATAGATACATTTGTAGACCTTTAGATGTTTTTTTATTTACTGTAAATTCAGAAATTATTGCGAGGTTTTTATTAACGGAAATAGTGCATCTGGATTAGTATCGCAATAATTAGAACTCGCATTCTGATATCTGATAAATGCATTTGATGCAGAATTTCCTGAAATCACAATAATTAATCTCACATTATTGTCCATTCTTTATAAATCGCAATAATAAATGCACGCAATAATTTCTGAATTTACAGTATACCAGGCTTGTGTGGTTGAGTGGTTTAGGTATTTTCATAAAAATTGTGAGAATCTTTCACAACGAACATTTAAATATAATACATACTGCTAAGGAACACTATATACCAAAATAAAAAGTGACTTTTCATTTTCACAATGTTCATCTTGTCAAACTTTTCACATAAATAAAAGCAATGCTGTACATTCATTAGTTTTTTCAGGCATTTATTATCACTATGGTGGAACAATGGACAAGAATTGGAGATAAATTATTGAGATTTAAAGAAATGATGCATAAAAACAATGAAGAATTTTATTTTGGCAAAACCCATATCTCATAATTTTCACAATAACCAAAAAATGACAAAAAATTCGAAAATGACGGTATACAGTACAATAAAAAAATAGTTTGATGACAGAAACTTTTTACAAATCCTAATTCCTATATATATAAATCACAATTTTCGTAATAACAAAAAAATGGCAAAAATTTCTGAAATGACATTATACAGTACAATAAAAAAAAATTGTTAGATGACAAAAACTCCTTTATCAAATCAATGTTTACCCAACAGGCCTCTTGTTTCCTATGATCAAAATCAACAGCAACTATGTTTTCTCCTGGAAAAACAGGTAACCTTCCTCTCGATCCATTCATTTGCAACTGTTTCATACTTCTAAAATCTGCTATCAGCAAGGTGGGTACCAGTCCACTGGGCTCTGTTCAATAAAGAACATGTCACAATAAATTCTATGTAAATCGGTTTTGAGCAACAGCATCAACAAATTGATCAAATCTATTTTTAAAAGTTATTTTAAAGAAGGGAAACTTGTTAATGAGAATTGATTGATTTATGCATGCTTAACGTCCAGTTGCAAATACTTCAAGCTTATTTTAGGACAAGAACAAATAATCAATTAATACTGTGGATTCATTCATTTTCATGGGTACCAATTTTCGTGGATTGAGGAAAACTTTTCGTGGATATTAGATTTTTGTGGTTTTGACAATCTCTGCATACAAAGCGTATAGAAAATTTGCAATTCGTTGAACATTTGAATTTGTGGTTCACCTGTACCCACGAAATCCACGAAAATTGGTATTGAACAAATAATAATGAATCCAAAGTACGACAGGTAGGTTCTGTAAGGTAGGTCAACAGGGACAAAGGAGTGAAAATTGGGACTGCCACTTATGACTTATATATAAATAAGAACTAGTATACAATAATACTATTTTCAAAAGTTTGATGTTAGGTGCATGGGGCACGAGAAAAGTATTGGTTGTTTGTATGTATGTGGTTTTATGGTACTATATAAACTTTGGGATCTAAATTTATCAGTAAGGAGGGGGTGGACAGGGGGTACCCTTCTCCCACCTCCCGCCCCCCTATCTCCCACCTCCCACTTTTAGAATCTTTTTTTCTCTCCCACCTCCTGCCACCCTTCCTCCCACCTCCCCCCCTTCCTCCCACCTCCCGCCCCCCAACTCCCACCTCCCTCAAAAGCTGTCTACCCCCTCAGTAAGGAAGATGTTCACAATAATGATTCATTGCTAGTCAGATTTATATACAGTTGCTGATACGTTTATTACATGCATCTATGTGATTTTTTTGTATGGTAGAAATACTTTAAATTCTGACAAGCAGTGAAAGAGAGTAACTCTTATTTAAGTGCTTTCTTTTTTCTATGGTTTTTATGTTAGTTGTTTTTGTGCCTCATACCGATCTTTTGAGTTAAGACAATTGCTACTGATTTTTAAGGTTTGTTCTAATGTTGTGCTGTTACACCACTGTACAAGGTATGGGGACGGTTGAGCGCTCATAAACATGTTTAACCCTGCCACATTCTTTATGTGCCTGTCCCAAGTTAGGAGTCTGTAGTTCGGTGGTTGTCATTATTTCATGTCTGTCATATTTGGTTTTCGTAAATTGATTTGTTATAAATTAGGCCATTGGTTTTCTCATTTGAATTGTTTCAAATTATTCATGTCAGGGCATTATATAGCCAACTAAAGGCATGGGTTTTTTCATTGTCGAAGGCTGTACGGTGGCCTATAATTGCTTACTTAACTTCATTTGAACTCTGGTAGATAAACTTGTCTAATTAGCAATCATACCACATCTCTTTATTTTTATAAAAGGAATATTCACGACCTTGGATGACTCAAACTTAGGATAAGTGAACCAGTTTTGTCTGGTCCCTTGCACTTTTAACTTATCAAGGCACTACTGTACTTGACCACCATTCTGATCATGGCATGCAATGTAAATACATACCATTTAATGCATGGCACAGACCCATTTTATCTTGTTTGTAACCACTGACACAGCTACACAAGTAGGCCTCATTTTTATGTTGACAACCTTGGTCACAGTAGCCAGGATAGTCGCATTCATTAAAATCTAAAAACAGAATAACATAAATTATTCATTAACAAAATTAAACAAATAATCCTTAGTAGGAGACATCTTTAATCCTTTTGTGGTAGGGGTGAGCAGCAGAGACATCAATAACTAGAGGCTCTAAAGAGCCTGTGTCGCTCACCTTGGTCTATGTGCATATTTAGCAAAGGACAAAGATAGATTCATGACAAAATTGTGTTTTGGTGATGGTGATGTGTTTGTAGATCTTACTTTACTGAACATTCTTGCTGCTTACAATTATCTCTATCTATAATGAACTTGGCCCAGTAGTTACAGTGGAAAATATTTTGAAAAAAATTTACAAAAATTTACAAAATTTATGAAAATTGTAAAAAATTGACTATAAAGGGCAATAACTCCTTAAGAGGTCAATTGACAATTTTGGTCATGTTGACTTATTTGTAGATCTTACTTTGCTGTACATTATTGCTGTTTACAGTTTATCTCTATCTATAATAATATTCAAGATAATAACCAAAAGCTGCAAAATTTTCTTAAAATTACCAATTCAGGGGCAGCAACCCAACAACGTGTTGCCTGATTGGTCTGAAAATTTGAGGGCAGAAAGATCTTGACCTAATGAACAATTTTATTCAGTCAGATTTGCTCTAAATGCTTTGGTTTCAGAGATATGAGCCAAAAACTGCATTTTACCTTATGTACTATTTCTTAGCCATGTCGGCCATCTTGGTTCGCGGGCGGGGTCATCTGACACATTTTTTAAACTAGATACCCTAATGATGATTGTGGACAAGTTTGGTTAAATTTGTCTTAGTAGTTTCAGAGGAGAAGATTTTTGTAAAAGATTTCAAAAATTTACGAAAAAATGGTTAAAAATTGACTATAAAGGGCAATAACTCCTTAAGGGGTCAACTGACCATTTTGGTCATGAAGACTTATTTTTAGATCTTACTTTGCTGAACATTATTGCTGTTTACAGTTTATCTGTATCTATAATAATATTCAAGATAATAACCAAAAACGGCAAAATTTCCTTAAAATAACCAATTCAGGAGCATCAAACCAACAACGGGTTGTCTGATTCATCTGAAAATTTCAGGGCAGATAGATCTTGACCTGATTAACAATTTTACCCCGTGTCAGATTTGCTCTAAATGCTTTGGTTTCAGAGATATAAGCCAAAATCTACATTTTACCCCTATGTTCTATTTTTAGCCATGGCGGCCATCTTGGTTGGTTGGCCGGGTCACCGGACACATTTTTTAAACTAGATACCCCAATGATGATTGTGGCCAAGTTTGGTTTAATTTGGCCAAGTCGTTTCAGAGGAGAAGATTTTTGTAAAAGTTAAGGACGACGGACGACGACGACGACGGACGACGGACGCCAAGTGATGAGAAAAGCTCACTTGGCCCTTTGGGCCAGGTGAGCTAATAAAAATACAGTGGGGGAATCTTTAATCCTTTTGTGGTAGGGGTGACCAGTTGAGACATCAATAATAATAATACATTCTCTTTTATTCATTTGTTCACATAAAATATACCTATAGCTATCATGAAAACGCTATCTAATGGAGAGATAAATAGATAAGACAAATGTCTAATGCCTTAATAATTGTGGTTTTAATTACATTTGTGAAAAAAAAAATACATCTGATTTCAGGTACTTACAATTCAATCAGCAACCTTGCCATATATTTCATCTTAATTTCTCAACCTTATCAAATATCATTTAGCTTGAAGTATTGACTATTCCAGTGGCTCGTCCCTACCATCCCCCCTTTTTTCCCAGAGAAAGCTTCACACTGCTTCATTGACTTACATTAAAAACAAACAGTTCCTAAATAAAATTAATACAATTTTTGACAGGACCAAAAAAAATAATAATCTTATAACCTATCAATGACAACATGATAACATTTTGCATGATTTGTCTGAGGATGAGTTTTGCCAAAAAGATATAAGTAGAAAAATCAATCTCAAAGAGGTTGTGTTCTTAAAATGAGGTAAATCTTATCTTTCTGGAGTACATGTACTTTATAATCTCCCACACAATAGATACTTCTTAATTCAATTGATTATAAATAGAAATATATCTTCTGTTTACCTTTGAGCAATATATATCAGCAAATAATTCAATCAAAATCATGGTTCATTTTTGTATCTGGTAATAAGAACATGAAGTAAGAAAGTGATTCAAAGAAAATGAAAAATATTTATTTAGGAGTAAACAATGCATTTTTCTCAGTTGCACAAATTAAAACCTTTCATCACAAATAACTGAATCAAATTATAAAACAAGACTTTTCAGGCGTCTCTTGACTTCTCCCCACTTCACTATTAACAATTCCTCTATTTCTCATCAAATGTCAAAACTTCTTTTTCAAAGTTCTATCAGAAATATGCAATTTTATTCATTACTATTCAAACAAACAAAAGCATGAGATTTCCATTGTAAATGTGTAAATTGGTCTCACCACATTAAAAGGTCTTAGATTTCAGACATGTATTTTGGAACTTTTGATAATTATCTTGCTTACCAACACATGTAGAATTTTTTATGGTTTTAGAGTCTTCACAGAAACACACTGGAACAGGATGACCATTTTTGGGAACAACTTTGCAGCATTTCGTTGATGGCTGGTCATATTCATAAGATGATACACTAATTTGGCAGTCGGAACAATTTAAACTATCACAGGGATCTGGTTTGACTGAAAAGACAAAAATGAAACAAATGCTGAAAACAAAAATATATTTTTGAGCTTCCGAATTGCATTTCTTGATTAATCTTCATCAGGAACTCTCAAATCTATGCTAACCATTTTTAAGCCAGGGATGTATAAAATCGTAAAAATATAAAGAGATAAAAGAGAAAAAGGGATAAAAAAAGAATAGTTACAGACATATCATCATACATGTATCTTCACATAAAAAAAAATATTCTGGTTTCAAATATACAACTTGTAAAATGTTAATTATAACTGAACTTGTATTTAATCTTTTCTGAAGAGATGTCATATTTTATCATTTCTTGATTTATTTGTGACTTCTTGTTGTTACAAGTAACTAGATGACTCTTTCATTTCTCCATATGTCTTTATCATATCTGTAGACAATAGACTTTCCTTGCAATTCAGAGGTCTTGAAATTTATCTGACCTTTTAACACTTCCAAGTAAATTTTGGTTATCTCTTATAAGGTGTCTGACAGAAGTTATCACAAAACTGTGCAGCCAAGTATTTATGGTATACAATAATGAAAAATGCCCATGCTACAGTCTTATATTAACAGCTTCCTACTGATCCTAGGCAATACCTGTACTGTATAAAAAAACAAAGACCTGGTACGATTACTAATGAGACAACTATTTAACAGAGACCAAAAGGCAAGGATGCAGGTTTTTGAATTACTTATTCAATAAATAGTCTGGATGCAAAATTGCTTCAGTATTAACAAGTAAAGTAAACAGTAGCTTGTCCTTTTATGTATTACACAATTAACTATTAAAACTTACTTTGTGTACAAAAAGATCCTTTGTCCCCTTTATGAATGGGACAGCCCAAGAGAAAATGAAAACGGGATCCATCGGGATCCCGATGAAATCCCAGAGAAATTGGCGGGAAAAGCCGGGATAAGCATCTGAAGTCGGGATCCCATTCGGGATAAATATCTGAAACTGGGATCCCATTCGGGATATCTGTCTGAAGCCGGGATACCATTCTAGTTGAAACGGGATAAATATCTGAAACTGGGATCCCATTCAGGATAACTGTCTGAAGCCGGGATCCCATTCTAGTTGAAACGGGATAAATATCTGAAACTGGGATCCCATTCAGGATAACTGTCTGAAACCCGGATCCCATTCTAGTTGAAACGGGAAAACATAAACCAGAATTTTGTGTGGAAAAATATGCAAGTGTTTGGTAAACAGGAAGTTGTTGAGTGCTGAATCTGAAAACGCATATGGATCTATTTAAATAGCATGGTTGTTATAACAAATATGTTTTTATCCATTTACAGCCATGTATAAGTAGTCCAAATAATTATGACGTCTGGCAAGGCTAGTATTTTTTTTTTCTGGGACGCCTTCCTTTTTTGTCAAACATTTTTGAAATACACAATTATTTATGACATAAAGCAAAGGTTATTGGTGTTAATTAACAATGTGTATGACCCCAAAGCTGTCAGGTGAAGCCAATCACTTAATGGGTCACTTAATTTGACAGTTTACACAGCTACATGTAGCTGAACTTCTTGTTCATGGATGAACTACGAATTTCAGTTTGACAGTATTTCTTAGTCTAAATAATTATGACGTCTTGAAAGGCTATTTTAAATTTTTGCTTTGACGCCTTCCTGCGACGATGTAAGGCGTCAAAGAAAAAAAATATAATAGCCTTTCAAGACGTCATAATTTATTGGACTTAGTATTTCTAAGTCAGAAAAATGCCGAGATTTTCGCAATAAAATGGCAGGGCGTCCGAGAAATGTCAAAGGCTGTTTTGCTAGACAAGCTGGGGCGTTTTTGATTTTCTCCAAGTTCACATAAGTGTTCTATTAATTGTTGTCCGGCATATATCAATGATAGGCCAATGATTGACATCGTAACACGTTGGTTTCTCAACTTATGTAAAATGTAAAATGTTTTTTTTTGTAATTGTACTGAACAGTCCGACCCTAGAAAATACCGTCCTAGATAATGCGGCCACTAGTTCATCCGCATGCAGCCTGTGCCGATTAAATTAAAGTTGTTTTTTCTTATATTTAAAAACTGGCTAGTAATAAATTATTTTATGCAACACCCTTGATTTATTTTTACAATACCGTTACGGGGACAGATCAACTTCTGGCCGGTATAATATGGGGCGAGATTGGTGCATTAACAATTAAAGTTAACATGTATATGTGTATATAATGATTATAAAAAAATAATTCATTGAAGAACTAAGATTTTTTTATGGTTTTTATTTGAGCAAATCAACATCAGAAAGTCTGAAAGCATAAACTGAAAATATATTTATTTTTAACATAAAACAATGAATAATCTTGTTGTCACATAACAGGCATAACTGGTAGATATGTTAAAATTTAATTGAGTTGTGTGAATGGTTATTTGGTGAAATTGATAAGTCGCTAGTTGTTTATCTTCAAGGGATAAAAAAAGGGAAGGGTAACTAATTTGATTCCATATGGCTTCCAATCTACTGTATAAACATGCAATAATATTTCTATTGAATTTATGGCTTCAAAACGTCTTGAACCATTGATTCTTTGTGGATTTTTTTGATACTTTTAGGGGATTTAATGATTTGATAAAATGGAGCTGCAAATTTTGATAGTAAACAGATTGCATGTAGATTCCAGTTACCTTTACTCAGCAATACTAGTTGGAAGTACAGAGACAACAAATTTATTTACAGAAAGGAGGAGAACTTTACATCATGTATCCTTCGCAACTTACGCAAGGGTAATAAATAAATAAACCAGGAATCCCAGTGGAGTCAAGTACGTGCATGGAATTCCAGTATATCCTGCTGGGATTTATTTTGGGATCCCCCCTTTTTTTTCCGGGAATCCCAGTATATTCCAATCAAAATCCCACAATATCCCAGTATATTTCCACTGGGATTTATTTCCGGATCCCGACTTTTTCTGGGAATCCCAGTATATTCCAATCAAAATCCCACAATATCCCAGTATATTTCCACCGGGATTTACATGGGAATCCCGCTTCTTTTGCGGGAATCCCGAAATTTTATCCCAGTGGAATCAGGTGGGATGGAATCCCAACGGAATTCCAGCTGGAATTTCAGTGGGATCCCAGATTTATTTTCTCTTGGGAGTTCATTATAAAAACTTACTTTGTGTACAAAAAGATCCTTCGTCCCCTTTATGAATGGGACAGTCATTATATCTATCACAGAATTTATCAACTGGAATGCATACTTCTTCTTGCGGACACCGCATATAATTTGGTTGACATGGCAACAGATCCTGGACATCATGTTGTACTGCATTAAAAAAACAAAAACAAAAATACTCATAAATATAATAGATTAAACCAAAAATGAAAAATCTTAAAATCCGAATAAAATATAAAAATAATTTCTCTTTCGTTGGAATAAAATATCAGACACAATGTTGATTCCAGTGTTATCTTACCAAAGTGTTCAAGTCTTTGTGAATAACCATGTTTCTATCTGCATAATATGTTTTAAAATGGTTTGATCCTGTCTTATGAATTTTCTTAAATTTTCTGAAATTTGATTTTTTGATTTTTAAGTTTTCTAGGTACCCAGTTAGAACCTTCTTAGGACGATAAAAAAAGTGTTTAATAATGCAACCTTCTTTCAAGTTTCTTGGTTACAGGGCCTCTGTGGCAGAGTGTCTAAGTAGTCAATCTACACAGTCACTTGGCTGTAAACAATGCTAACCTATATGTTATTTGGCAACATATTTTGGTACAGTATTTTGTTTTCCAGCTTGTCCAGAATACAAACTGACAGCAGTATTTACTGATCCAAGAATTTACAATCATGTACTAGGCATAAGTATATGGTGAAACATTTTTTACCAACACTCACAGTCACAGAGAAAGATTTGATAATAACCATTGTCCCAAGTCAGGAACCTGTAATTCAGTGGTTTTTGTTGGTTGCTGTCTTGTCATTTATGTTCTTCATTTATTGTTTATCATAAATCATGTGTTGGTTTTCTCGTTTGAATTTGAGTTACATTTTGTCATGTCAGGGCTTTAATACAGCTTACTATACAGTATGGGTTTTTGGTCATTGTTGAAGGCCGTACTCACAGTGACCTATAGTCTTTAAACTTCTTATCCTTTGGTCTCTGGTGTATGGTTGTATTTACTATTATTGACAATCAGACCACAACTCATGTTTTTTTTATTCTTCATCAAGTTTGCCCAACATTCTCTATTCCTTATAATTAAGCCCCCTATCATTCTCTATTCCTTATTTTCATATTATAACACTTTCATGCACTAGTAAATGCACTGTTACATAATATGCACCTGAATGACATGTTAAGTTGAATAATGATGCAATTATTACTTTTCAGATGTCACAGTAATTTATATGTAATATTATATCACTGTATTCATCTCTGTAATACATGACAGACATGTCTGATCTATGAGATAAAGGAAAATGATAGTACAGCATCAATTATAAATGTCAATAAACAATTAGCTAGTACTGACCTATTATTACAGATTAGTGCAATTGCAACCTTCCATGTTACAAACTGCAAGGGCTAATTTCAAAGGATTAGAAAGTTACCTAACAGGAAAAGCTTGTGATTGCAAAATATTAATTCTAATATCCCAGCATCTATTACTAATGTCAATAGACAATTATCTAGTATTGACCTATTATTACAGATCAGTGCAATTGCAACCTTCCATGTTAACACTGTTGGGTCTAATTTCAAATGCTTAGATTTACTTACAACCTAAAATGTCGAATCTAATTTCGCAGCATCTACTTTTATCTTATGTCAATAGCCTTCCATGACCTTCCATGTTACACACTATAGGGGCTAATTTCAAAAGATTAGAAAGTTACCTAACAGGATCAACTTGTGATTGTAAAATGTTAAATCTAATATCCCAGCATCAATTACTAATGTCAGTAGACAATTATCTAGTATTGACCTATTATTCCATGTTACAAACTGCACGGGCTAATTTCAAATGCTTAGATTTACTTACAACTTGAAATATCGAATCTAATTTCACAGCATCTAGTTTTATCTTATGTCAATAGACAATTATCTAGTATTGACTAATTACTGTAAATTCAGAAATTATAATATTGCATGCATTTATTATTGTGATTTTTTAAGAATGGACCAAAATCAGAGATTAACTATTGCAATATCAGGAAAATCTACATACAGATATATGTATTAGATATCCGAATGCAAGTTCTTATTATTGTGATATTCACCCAGTCGCATTATTCACATTAATAAAAACCTGGCAATAATTTTTGAATTTACAGTATTACAGTTCAGTGCAATTGCAACCTTTCATGTTACACACTGTAGTGGCTAATTTCAAACTTTTAGATTCTTTTAAAATCTAATGTGTTAAACCTAATTCATAGCATCTTAGTTTTGTTTTATGTCAACAGACAATCATCTCCTATTGACCTATTACTACAGGTCAGTGAAATTGCAACCTTCCATGTTATACACTGTAGGGGCTAATTTCAAACTCTTGGAAAGATTCTCTTACAACCTAATATGTGGATCTAATTTCACAGCATCTAGTTAAGACTTAACGTATATGAACAGACAATTATCTAGTACATGTAATGACCTACTATCTAATAATACAGGTCAGTACAATTGCAACCTTCCAGGTTTCACACTGCGGGGGCTAATTTCAAATGCTGAGAAAGTTCCCTTACAACAGCAACATGTGAATGTAAAATGTTAAATCTAATTTCACAGCAAGTAGCTTACTTTTATGTCAAAAGGCAATTATCTAGTATTTACCTATTATCTAATAATACAGGTCAGTACAATTGCAACCTTACAGGTTTCACACTGTAGGGGCTAATTTCAAATGCTGAGAAAGTTCCCTTACAACAGCAACATGTGAATGTAAATGTTAAATCTACAATATCTAGTTTAGTCATGTGTCCTCAGACAATTAAAATTGATAATGGAAATGGGGAATATTTCAAAGAGATAACAACCCGGCCAAAGAGCAGATAACAGCCAAAGACCACCAATGGGTCTTCAACGCAGCGAGAAAATCCCACACCCGGAGGTGGTCCTGAGCTGGCCCCTAAATAAAAATGTGTACTAGTTCAGTGAAAATGGGCGTCAAACTAAACTCCAAAACATATAAATGAACTAAAATTAAAAAACATACAAGACTAACAAAGGCCAGAGGCTCCTGACTTGGGACAGGCGCAAAAATGCGGCGGGGTTAAACATGTTTTGTGAGATCTAGTATTGAACTATTATTTATTATTACAGGTAAGTGTAATTGCAACTTTCCATTATACACATTGTAAGGGCTAATTTAAAATGCTTAGAAAAATTCTCTTACAAGATTAACTTTAGATTGTCAAAGCAAAGTTTATGAATCCATTTAGACAATTTCACAGCATGGAATTTAGACTAATGTAAACAGACAATATCTTGTATTTGACCTATCGCTCCAGGCAAGGGCACTAACAATCTTCAACATAACACATATTAAGGACTTATCAAACTGAGATTCCATTTCAATATTAACTTAAGTGTAAGAAAAACATTTGAGCATCCATGCCATATGGTGTTAATTTCAACACTGATATTAAGACTCATGTAATATACATTCCGAAAACCCTTGTATATCTACTGATATCAATTAAGTGACTATTACATACATTTCTTAGATATCTTATCACATTCCAGTATCTGTAGTGTCTTTGGAAGTGATTGTGTCAATTTGAAGTATAAATTAGCCATTAGACCACACTTAGGTAATAAAAGGATTAACAATGTAATTTTGAAATCACTATTCATAATTTACTACCTTAAACAGCTTGATAATAAGTTAAGTTTAGACACATGTAACAAAGAGGCTGCTGGCTTCCTTGTAATGGGGTCATAATTTTATACGTAAAATCATTAGAAAAATGTTGAGGTCAGCTGGAGATGCTGAAGATGTAAAGTTAGCTCTGGCACTGAACTAATACCAAACTCACAGTAAGATTTTCTAATTTAATTCCAAACCAAAATCTCATACAATGGTAAATGTCGATACAATATGACTCCTACTGTAATAATACAACTTATAATACTCATGCTGAAGAGAATGTCCAAATAATTAAATTACACATAATTAATTCAACTTGAACCTGTCACGTGAAGATTTCTCTAAATATATGACACCAAAATAATTAGAATTAGTCCAAATCTATACAAAAATGTTGAAAGTCAAAATAACTCAAAATTCCTCTATGACACGCAGCTTAATAACTTAGTTTCAAAATTGTTTTCCCCACAATTACACACATTATACAGAATTAAACTGACTTAATGTCAATAAACATAAGTATTTCACAAAAAAAGGAAATTTCTACTTACTCTTCTTGATAAAGCATTTCCTTATTCTTATGTTCCCAAAAGGGAAGAATAAAACTATTTTTCTCAAGGCATTATTTAGTTTAGGAAAGATTATTTTTTTCATTTTGGGCAAAGTCAAAATAAATGGTCCAAATTTTTTTTTTTTTACCAAATTTCAACATTGTTTTAGTGCATTTTCTTTTGTTGTATCTTGATACATAATGATTTAAGTTAATAAATCCAAAAGGATATAAAAAAGTATATAGAAATAAAAAAGTTCTGAAACTTAAATGACATAAACCAATAAAACAAATTTAAATCAAGTATACATTTTTGGAATATTATTTCAGACAAACACTATCAAATATTTATATTTTTTTCACCCCTATTGATTGCAGAGATCCAAACATTACTTTTGATGCAAAGATTATTAATCTCCACATTGATTATAATTTTTTTTTTATGTTTTTGGCTATTTTTTGGATCAATTCATTTAAAGTTGATTGAAAAAGTTTTGATTAAAAATTATTCATCAATTAGTTGATGAAAAAACTTCTCCATATTAAAACTAACCCTTTTTCAAATTCACTGAGGAAAAAAAATTGACAGATATATCTTTTAATAAAGAAGATATATCAAAAAGAAAATACATCCAATTTCCCCTGTTTTTGTTGCACTCCTGACATATTATACACCAAACAAAAAATGCAGAAACTAGAACAAAATACTCATGATTTTTTAAAATTTGTACTCATTGCTGGTTTATAAAGACCTAAATCTGTCATTTAAATGTTATTTCTATTTTAACTTATGCATCTTATGCACTTCAGATCATTTTTAAATTGATTTTTCTGACACATTATTATAAAAATGAAGTTAAGTTACCAAACTATGAACTAAATTCTATTAAATATTCAGTAGA